CCGATAAACGATGCACCATCGGGAGCCCAACGAATCAAATGGTCCGTTGAAGGGTCCTCGACCATGCTACAAAAGATAACGAAGAGAGTCAAAAAAAAAAAAAAAGCAAAGAAAAAAAATGGAACAATCATTATAAAAATCACAAAGAAAAAATTACCTATAAAGTTTGTTGAGGAAAGCCGAGACACCAGGTTGGGCAAAAGCCTGGGGCGTGCTCCCGGGGTTGCCAGGAGAAATGAGAGCGGGATCATTAGTTTTCGACGATGAGGTACGCTTTTTCTTTCCCTTGGCAGGGTTGCCAGGCGGAACAGTTGGCAACGGAGTATCGGACGGCACGTCGCTCGACAGTAAAGTTTCAGAGGACAACGGGGCCCCTGGCGAGAGTGGCCGTTTCCGAGTTGACGATGCACCACTTCTGCCTTTCTCAGGAAGTTCAGAAAGCCGATTCATAGCGTCAAATAAGGAAACGCTGTCGTCCAGAGAAGCTGTTCAAAAGAATGAGATGGACGATTTACAACGGAGTGACGAAAGGGGTGAGGGCCAAATGGTGGCATGAGAGGATGGAACCGAACCTTTTTGGGGCAATGGATCACTGGGTCGCTTTTTTTTTTTACAATTTGTCTGTGCAAGTACAACAGCAAAAGTGAGATAAGGAAAAAAAGGATAAAAAGAAAGGCACTATAGAGAATGGCAAATGGTTTTCCTTACCTATTGTCGTCAAAAAAAGTCCTTCGAAAATAGGAAACAAGAAAAAAAAATGGGGAATTTTTCAGACACGCAAGCAGAGCGGTGCGTCGAGCTTCTTTGAGTTACCGCTACCCGCTAAAAATTATTCGAGCTATGTGCGTGTGCGAGCGTGCGTCTGTTTGTGCGTTTGCGTTAGTGCAAAAATGTTGTTGCGGCCGCTGTGTTGTCAGTGTTCCTCTCCGCTCCCCGGAGATTGGGTCCAGCCAACCCGAAAAAATTCGAGGACCAATCAAACTTGTATACCTTCTTTTTTCTGAAACCTCTACCGGAAATGCTGTCTACACTTGGCATTATCTACAAACTTCCGGAGCCTTGCGCCGGGAACAACTGTCACATAACCCCTTATTACTTTGGGTGGGCTGATGAATACAGCCGTCACTGTTCCTTTCTCGCTATAAGAACGTACTTGTAGACGCTGCTTTTTCTGCTTTCTTTTCCGGCGGCGGAAAGAGGCGTTCATCATATCCACTTTGCAAGCTTTAACTTTTTTGCTTTGTTTCCCTATATGGATCGATCCACTTGGCATTTTAGCTACGCATATCGTGCAAATTTCCCCCTCTTCCTCGATTTGACACTATGACAATCCGATTTCTCGGTTGGTCCGGATACAAAGGCACGTACTACTAGCTTGTTGCCTCTTGGAATTCTTAAATGGCATAAAGTTCAGGGCCTTGATCCTTTTGCCACGAGGTGCTGAATGGTGTCATCCACTCACTCTTGCGGAGGTTGGCGCGCTCAGACCAGGTCATTGCTTCTATAACGTTCCATAAACCATATATGTACCCTTTTCCTTTTTGACCCTGTACACCCTTCTCTTCAATGACAGGCGGAGAAGTTTCTATGACGTTCCAGAAAATTAGGGATCGCCCCAGCATTCGGTATGCTCTTCTTTTTCTGTATTAGCTCAGGAACAAAGACGTCCATCACTTGAGCTTCTATTTGTTTTCGAGCGGACGCCCTGTACGTACTCATCACGATTTGATGCGGCAGATACCTCTGTCACCCTTCCCACCGCTCCTTTCTCGAAGTTTGAACAGGATAATGGAATTCTCAGCAGGTCTCCATGATTCCCGTAGCCTTGCATCGCGGTCCTCGGCATGGACCGCATATGTCGCCGTTGTGACCGTAGTACAAGATCTACGTGCAATGCCGCCAACCTGCTTTATGCGGTGATACTTGAGTTGCCCTCCAGAGCTTAATCTGTACCCTGGCGAAGAACCAGGAGGAAGAGATAAGCGTTGCCTATAGGCTAAGTGTATTTGTACACGGCTTTGCACCTGAAGAGCCCTGTATCGACAAATGGAGCAAAGAGCATACTGAAGGAGGATAACACATCGTGCGCCGCACTAGGTGGGCACTGTAATGCAGGAATGTTGGAGTAGTTCTATCGAGCCCCGTACACCTTATTCGGTTGTCATAAGGGGGGAATGTGCCTTCTTTTATTAGACATTGGCAATGAAGCTTACGAGACTCTCATGCGGGATAATTTGGGACTGCCGGTATTGCGTTATTGTTTATGTAAAAAATTGAAGACGATCCATCTCGCCCTTCCACCGTAACTAAAGTAAATGCGGGAGTAATAAACGCTTTCGTTGCGTCTATTGTGACAGCACAGATGTTCACCGCGTTGCTATGACATCTTCTTTTAACGCTCCCACGTCTGTGTTATGAAGTTCTAGTGCGCGTACCCTCGTAATTGCCCTTGCTGCGGCAAGTCATAGATACACGTCCCAGATGCCATTCAAGTTGAAAAGAAGACCCGCTCATAGCGCGACTAGATATAATCGGCTATTTTTGTTATTAACAGTCATGGTGGGAGTTACCATACTGCACAGTTTAAGCAAATAGGAAAGATCATATTTCAGTGACACGCCTTATCGCACACTTGAGAGATTCACACTATGCTAATCAGAGATGCTGAACTGCATCCTGCAATGACTCAAGATGGTCGTATGATAGTAATGGATGGGATGGACGCCAGTTGCTCGTTCCACATTAAGTACAGCGCAAGCATCAAACCTATGTCTTGTCATTTCATATCCAGCGTGGACAGATCGCAGACAGCAGCCCTTCTTTCCTTTCCAGATAGCGAAATATCAGATGCGCCTTTCCGTTGATATTACCAATATACTTTGCCTGAAACCAACGTCGTTAGCGTTGATTAGCTCACATTATCTACTGATGACCATCAAGTGGCACGCATGCACAATAAAATACCTTGAAATACTGGAATGTATAAAAGCGGGACGCTATCTTTCGCCGGCTGTTCTGTTCATGAAAACTCTCACTCTGTTTCGGCAGATGAATGGTCCGTATTGCCTCGTTTCTGCTTTTTGCCACCTTTTTCGTTCGTTCGTGCGCGTCGAGGCCGTTTCCGCTCCTTGGCATGTTCGACCTTGAGGCTGAGTGCGCTAATTTTTAACCCGCACCACTCAATTTCTAATTCCACGTGAGTCTTTATTGCAGATAGTAGGTGAGAAAACTGATATGTACTTACGGTGCTTAGGATCTGCGATATTTGTTTGAATCTTCGTCTTATTGAAGAAGCAGTTGTATCGTACAATCCCTGATACAAAGATTAAGCAGCTGGTTACGCGACGATATCCCGTACCTTTTTCGACAATTTCCAGGAACGCTTCGACCTTTTCCTTCTTTGGGCTGATACACAAGTAGTCATCAACGTATCGGATGACGAGCTATGCATTATAAGATGTGTCCGGAATGTGAGCTCTTAATGCGGCATATTAGTGTTGGACGTACTGTTTTTTCGTTTTGCTTGGCAATTTTGTCGAAGACAGCGTCGTCCATATGGTCAAAATAGAGCCTATTAATCAAATAAGAAAAGATATGGCTATAAAACCATCACACCTACGCGGCAAGGCCGGGAGAGACACATGAGCCTTGCGGGACGCCAATCTTTTGGCGGTAGTACTGTCCATCGATCTAGAGCAACCATTTGTCAACCGATGATTAATTTCTTTTTCTGCTACTCACGCGGACGATATTATTGCGAACATGATGCTGAAGTAAATGGACGCAATCGGCTGCTTGCTCTTCCGTAACCTAGATACTAAACGAGTTAGGGGCCAGGAGGCCATTACATTACTGCTATAAAACTTTACCAGATCGTAGCACTCGGTCAGGATATGGAATAGGAGAGCATGCTTGATGGAATCGTAGCAATTGGCAATATCCGCAGTGGCGATGTAGAAAAAGCTGTTGAATATAAGGTTGTTAAACAAGCAGGTGATGAGAAGGATCAGATAACTACCTCGGGCTGAACTTGAGCTGTGCGCGGTACTGCTTTAGGCGAGGGCCCAAGTGATCCGTGCCTTTTAGCGTGATACATCGAGATCTCCGGGGACGTTTCGAGATCATTTTTTGGATAATGCGGAGGGCGGACGCCCGAAGTAAGGCATTGTTGTCAAATACTGATCCATTTCGTTCCTGGGGTCGCGTATGAGGGACGAGTTCGATAAATGCAGGCGCGACTTTCTTACCGCACGTTTCATATCCACGATCATTCTATACCCGCCCTTCTCCTTTTGCACATACTTGGCCCTCGGGATCCCGAATGGTGACGTTCCAGCCTCGAGCTAAGCATTCCAGATTCAGAATTAAAAGTGTTTTGAAAAAGAGCCAGTGCCCTACCTCATGTACGGGTACATGTTCAAAGTGATGCGGTATTCTCTCCTGTAAATTCATCGCTGATTTTCTCTGGGGTGATGCGCATAAGCACGATAAAGGAACAAAAAGGAAAAGAGGAGTGGCACGTTCAAGGCAAATATTATGCGGGATCAAAGTCTAATGGAGAGCCCATTCCGGCGACTCACTTTTTAAGCAGCCGCTTATGAGAGCTACATTCTCCAACGAACCTCGAAAGGATAACAGCGACCGACGGGCAGCCATCTTTGAGCGGCATTATACAATGCATTGATGTTCTTGTCCGTTGACATACATTCCTTGCCCATCGACACGCATTTCTTGTCGATTGGCAAAATTAAATTTTTTATCGATGATCAAACTTTTTTTGAATCCAATAGTTTCTATTTATCTTTGTTATTGTTTTTTATTTCACTGCGTGGTCAGTGATGCAATACTCGACGGGGCCCTTTTCGGATCCAATAATTCATTTACCTGCACTATCGGACCATGTCGTAATAAAATACCTTCCAAAAAAGAAGCAAACGGGTACTTCCTTGAACGAACGAATATATCGAGAATTAATTCCCTTTCTTCACGGCATCGCAGAAGCGCGAATAGTTTAGAGGTAGAACTTCAGCTTCCCAAGCTGACGGCCGGGGTTCGATTCCCCGTTCGCGCATCGCAAGCTTATTTTGTCAACGCGTCGTCTTGTTTTGCTATTTTTTTGTCCGGTCGCGCTTCCTCCTGCCGCTGGCGCTTCAGCATGCGCCTATGGAAACGGCTCGCGAGGTGATCAGCCCATTCTTGATCGCCATTTAGGATGACAGGGTCACCTGATTTGGTGCGACACAAGGTGCATTCGTGTTTTCGCCAGTTCAAGATGCGGGATTGAGTACTATCGAACACGGTGAGCATACAGTACCAAAGTGATTTTCGCAATAGGAGACATACTCGGACGCCTGAATGTTAGATAGCATCGTGGCAGCTGTCTCACTTGTGGAGAGAGGATCCTCCATAGGCGTATCGGATTGGAAGGCTGAAAACATCACGTCAGTTGAAGGCGGATTACCATGGTAGATTGGTATATACCTTGCGCAATGGTAATCGCCTTTTGTCTGACGTTGGTATCCCAGGCACTGAGGTCTAAGCTTCGTGTCAGTCATCACAATATGGTATACTACTTTCTAATACCTGTGGCGTCCAGAAGGTATATGTGCATGTCATCCGACTTATTGACCAACGGAATGAGTTTGTTTTTAATCCATGTCACTTGGCGCTTAGCATAGCGACGGGTGGCTGTCTTCATCCGATCCGTGCATTCTGAGCGCAGCTTGTTGAGGTCTGCGCGAGGGGTTACTAGGAGCTCATTAGGACCGCATTCCCACTGATTTACCTTTCTCTTCGACATTCTCCCCATCCAAGGCGCTGAAATAAGGATCAAATTCCTTGTAGCCTATTAGCGCATCCAGGTCAGCAACCTGTATCGCTAGGCAGTACTGATTTTGCTCCTTACCTATGGCCTGCCATAAACCACGCTGGTATTTCTCATTGCCTTCGCCGGGCGCTACCGTCTGGCCTTCAACGACCCGTTTTCTGAGCGACTGGATCTCATCAAACAAGCCGGTCTACAGATTGATCAGTCTCTTGCGGCTTTTTCCTGTTCCTCCCTTTTCCGCACTGTACCTCAATCATGGTATCCACTCTGGCATCCAAACGCTGATTCAGCTTGGTCGGCTCAGCGTAGAGCCAAAATATCAACGACTTGTACTTTGTCTGGATGCCTTTAGCTTCATGCTCTTTTTGCTGCTCTTGAATGATCTCGCTTTGGGGTCTGCCTGTGGTATAAAATATCTACACTCGAATATGATACTGAGTTGCGGTTCTTGCAGACATATAAGAAGGCTTACCTGAAGGCTGCGAAGGATCTTGCGTCTATCAGCAGGATGCCATTTGTTTGCCATAGTGGGATCGACGATCTGGAGACGCGCATAGAGCTCGTGGGTCTCGAGGGCGTCGAGTTCAGACGAAGGTTCCGGAGATGGACTTCTCGCCTCATTACTGACAAGTGAGTTGCGCCATAGTAATGACTGCACATAGTAATTGGTCCCACCCACCACCACAGGAAACTGGTTTTCTTTATGCAAGCTGTCGATCTATATAAAAGATAGAAAATTTTTCAGTACCACCATCACACTTTATCTATGAGAGACGTACGCACTGCGCTGCGTCGCGCTCAAACTCGGTCACTCGGTATTCTTCTTCGGGTGAAAGGAAGTCCATAAGATGGTGTTTGACTGACTGGCGTTCATCGATGGGCATTTTGTTTGTAATAATGTCAAGGCCTTTGTAAACCTGTTCCAGAATGAGCTTTTTTTAACAAACAAAAAGGCGATATAGGATATAAGCTATACCTGCATGGCGTCTGCGTTTATGACTTGGCCATGCAGGGCTTTGCACAGTTCAACGGCGAGCTGTGATTTCCCTACGCCAGTCGTGCCAATGATGCTCGCAATCTTCTTTCGCATAGATATTGTAAAATGACTATGAAAACAAAACCGCCACCCCGAACTGTCAAAAAATAGTCCAATTTTTCCCTTATCTAATACAGCAGCCCTTCTTTTCCGACACATGAAAAAGGTTGAATGAAAATATTTCAAAGTATTATGGCTCGTTGTGAACGAAAACGATAGTCATTGCGTTATCGGCTGCATGGATTGATTGTTCACATAGCCTTTCTTCGTTTCCCTAGTTGGATGATATTCTTGATCGCCCAGGGTCTGGAGGCGTTTTGCCTAGCCGATCAGACCCAGGAGTTGGGATCTAGTTTCCAGGTCGACGTATGCAATAAAACCATCAAATTAAATCAAGATCTTGATTTACACAACACTACTCGGTATTATACAAACTCCAAGAGAAGCAGCACCTACACGTCAATTCCACAATCTCGATCCTATTTGAATCTGGGCAACACGACAACATCATACCAGAGAAATGTCGAGAATACATATTTATCATACAAGATCAGAACATAGAGGGATGTAGTCAACCCCTGCTGCCCCCACGTTTCCGCCCCTGTTCGGTCGTCCTAATACTACACGACCATGTCATATCTTTCGAGTTGCAATGGTCAAATTGAGATTCGTCGATCCGTTCGCGCTGGATGCTTCTCTTTGATCAATAAATTAGTAAACTATGTTTGTCTCTGAGAAGACGCACTTAAAATTCCTACTTTCAGGAGAAAATGTCAGTGATGACACATGATTCCTCCACACAGGTAAGTGGCTAATCTTACATGATGATATCCTCGTTCTCGACCGCAGAGAGTTGGCTAAACGGCTTTGCTATATTCGATGCATAACTACATAGTATTACATGAAAATCCTGTTGACAGGGAAACCGGACGAAAGCGAAAAGCGAATGAGAAGATCCATAGCAGATTTTACATCCACACGGGGCGTAGGGGCGAACAAAAAGGAGTGAGAAAGACATAGATTGCTAAATCACCATTTTTTCTTCGCAAGACCGCTGCGTGAAAGTAGGCTGCACCTTTGTCCGAGCATTTGGACGTGCATAGCATGCGATATGTAGTAAGGATAAAAGACAGGGACGACGTCAAGTGGATTTTAAGGGGATGTGATATGTGGTATCACCGTTTTATTACACTTTTCCCTGCCCTTTTTTTTATACGTATAAATATTGTGAATTGAGCGCTTGGAGTATTTATTGGATTGAAAACAATGACGGCATGCTTGTGCAACTAAGAACAAGAGAAAAAGCGGTCCTGGAACGGAGCTGCTCTTTCTTTGCGAACGGTGGTCCGCATGTCAGTTTATATTTGTTCTCGAATGTAAAGAGTATAGAGTTTATGAGTTTAATTTTGTCCTCTGCATACACAATCAGGCACGTACTTTCCTTTTTCCTGTGCACGCGTAAGGTTTGATCTGGCATATGTGCGGTTACATAGAAAGTGTGTGCTGGGCTCGTATACACATTGACATGCTGATGCGCAAGTGTGTTTTGTGAGGTTTGTGCGACGCCCTTTGGAGATAATAGCTTTGTGATTGAGAGGCGCAAATATAAATTTTTCTGCCGATCGGTGGGCACATGAGCCAATTACTTGGCCGGCTAGTGAGGCACAGACCAGAGTGGTTGGGTGACACGATCCACACGACCTTGATACTCGCCTAGAATTCGGAGTTCCCTCGTCTGCTTTTTGCGCTTTAGATCTTCGATGACCCCCCCCCCTCTGTCTCCTTTCTTCAAGCTTTGGAAGTGAATAGCTGCCAATTGCTGCTGCTTTATCTGCTTTCTGTGATCCGTATTCCGTCCCTTGAACGCCCCCCGTTTCTAGCTTTTTTTTTTGACATTGGCTTTTTCCATCTTTTCCTTTTCTCTTTCTCTCTCTCTTCTCTTCTCTTCTTTTCTTACTTTCCGCGTATCGCTTTGCCTCCCCGTGGCTTAAGACACAGCGGCCGTCCATTCTTTTTGCGCAACAAAATCGAACTCCACGCCATGTAGGTCTTCGTTTTACTTTTATTCAAAGAGAAATATCGCTAGAAAAAACAAAAAAGAAAAAAAGGGGGAATGGCAGCCAGGGATAAGACGCCATTCTGAAAGTGTTGCTGGTGTTGTCGCTATGGAGAAGGGGGTCGCACTCAAAGTGTTGTTGTTGTTGGATTGCGCAGAATAGGAGTGCACTCTCTTAAAACCAAACTATTCATCCATACACATACGCTAACCCGTATACTTTTCTTCTTTATTCTCTTTTTTTTTATCTCTTTCTTTTCTTTTCAATAGCACATATCATCATAATATAATATCATATCATGGGGTGCTGTCAGTCCAACGAAGTCCATGATGGCAAGGCACGGAACGAGGAAATCGAGAACCAATTAAAGCGCGACAAACTGAATATGCGAAATGAAGTCAAGATGCTGTTGCTGGGCGCTGGTGAATCTGGCAAATCGACTATTCTCAAGCAAATGAAGCTGATTCACGATGGCGGTTATTCGCGTGATGAGCGAGAAGCATTCAAGGAGATCATCTTTTCCAATACTGTGCAGTCTATGCGGGTTATACTTGAAGCTATGGATGAAATGGGCATCGCCCTTTCCCAGCCCGCCCATCGGCATCACGTGACTGTCATTATGGAAATGCCTTCGCAGATCGAGCGTGAAAACCTTCCGCCGGAAGTCACTCAGGCCGTCAAGACCTTGTGGAAAGATCCCAACCTGTTTACCGTCTTTGAACGAAGCCGCGAATACCAGCTCAATGACTCTGCCAAATAGTAAGTCACATCCCTTTCTATCATAAGAACAATGGTCTCACCTATTGGGCAAAAAAGCTACTTTGACTCGATCGAGCGTATCGGTGATCCAGGCTACGTACCGACCGATCAAGACGTGCTTCGATCACGTGTAAAGACCACCGGTATCACCGAGACGACATTTGTCATTGGTGAGTTAACATACCGCATGTTCGACGTCGGTGGCCAGCGATCCGAGCGTAAAAAGTGGATCCACTGCTTTGAAAATGTCACAGCGATTATTTTCTTGGTTGCTATTTCAGAATACGATCAAGTGCTCATTGAAGACGAGACGGTGGTATGTGTTCCAAAACAGACACCTTTTTCGTTTCGAGGCTCACCATTACGATAGAACCGTATGCAAGAAGCATTGA